TGCAAAGCCCAGCTGTCATTCTCATCCCTTGAAAAAGGGACTTTTTAGCTCACGGTTTCTTCAGAGAGAGATGCATGGCTTCTCATGGTAATGAAATTTATTTTTATTTAATAGCTCCATCGAAAGAGTCTCTCAAACTAGCCTAAGTAGTATGACGTGGATCCAAACCAGCTTATTTAATAGCTCCATCGAAAGAGTCTCTCAAACTAGCCTAAGTAGTATGACGTGGATCCAAACCAGCTGCACCCCCAGAGACTACGATAGCCTTGGTTGGGGACCGCACTCGATTTCACGTAGCATGTATCTCTTCGCTCACTAAATCCCCGTCAAAATATATATCCAACTGGATTTGTGCGCGCATAGCTATTAAACTCCCAAACTTGCAGTAAGAGCTAAAGGAACTGTATTTATCCAACATTTTCTGACCTTCATTTAGGCTTTCGATTTAACCCTAGTTCATAACTATGTCACGATTCTATCCAACTTGAGAAGAAATTTTAACAAATAGTTGGCGCAGGTAATTAGGGGGCTAAGAAAAAAACTAAAAGTAGTAGGTTCCGCATCAATATATTGATATACATTATCATTCGATGCTATCCTAATTTGTTTTAGTGGAGGGGTATGGCATCCAGATACTTTTTTTTTTTTTTCATTAAGCAATACACTTTGCTTATACCATGGCCATTTAATTAAATGTCAACGTATTCTGTTGGTGTCAACTTACGCTTAATAAACATGATTAGCGATCAATAACTTAAAGTGTTGAATACTGTACTATTATCACACCTGAATCATGTCTTTGTTTCCTTTTCTTCTCCTTCAGATGTAGAGAGCATGCTCTCAGGCCGTTTGGGTTTCGATTCATGCCGACAGGTTCGCTGCGAGACGAAGCTTCCCACTTTTTTGTTCGTAATATAAATTCTGGAAACGATTATAATAAAATAAAATCAGTGAAAAGCATGTTCATCGTTAGCAGAAGGAGGAGCAAAGTGCAAAAACATTTTTGAGCAACATGATGACAAAAAATAGTAGCAACTATTAAATAGTCATATAGCTTCCCATGAAGAGCTTTTCTTGGCATTAAAATAAGGTCAGTAAGGAACAACTTCTAATGAGGAGCTCAACATAGAAATTTGTATCCACATGTACAAGGGTGACTTCTTATTACTGTGAACCATGGTAATTAAAATTAAAAAGAAAAAATCTTATGTGCCATGTGACTACATGGGAACTTTTGTCATTTAATTCCCTAACGTCAAAATTTTTAAAGATCTCAAACAGAACTTCATCACGCATTTCCCATCAACACAAAGGAGCCCGACTTTCCCATAGAAATAAATAACCCAAGATTTCAATGAACCAACCACCAAAAGTTTTAGTAGTAAAAACTTTGCATTGTGGAATTTGCTGGTATGAAATAACCCAACACCTATGCGTCAACCACAATAACCATGAGTAAGGTTTTTAGTTTTCAGAGGTAAATGACTCTGAGATGAACTCAACTTTCGGTATATACCACTATACTAGTGAAATGGGTTAAAATATTGCAAAGTAGAATAGACTCTGATGAAGCACATTAGCACTGTATACAGTGAAATGAGTAAAAACGTTGCAAGGTAGAATAGGCTGTGATGAAGTAAACTGGCACTGAAGCATCAGGCACAAGACTTATGAATAGATTTTTTAGAATATACTCATTACAAGACTACAAAATTTGCAAAAAGCATGGGATGTGAATTAAACAACAGGCTAAGAAGGGATAGAAAGTTTTCAACCGAAAAAAGAAAGAAGAAGGCCCAAAAAGAAAAGAAAAATGGCGATTTTAGGGGAATTCTTGGAAAATTTGCTTGGCCCAGTAGAAACAACCAATTTCGTGGCGAAGAAGATTTGGGGTGAGTCAATTCCCTCTTTATTTTCTGATTCTCTATTCAAATCTAAGCCCAAGCACAGTTCTTGGCCCGTTCTGGATAAACCTAGGGTTAATGAGGAAACTAGGGTTGAGTTAAATTCTACGGTGGGGTTTGTTGGGAACGAATCTCAAGAAAAATCGACGGAGAAAGAGGAGGGGGAATGTGTTAAAGTTGTTAAGAGAAACCCTAGACCGCCGCCTCCTCCCAAATCTTTCGATGCTCCTCGTTTTCTTTCTGCAGAGTTCATTTGAAGAAATAGGCTGTGTTTTCGTTATGGGGGTTCGAAACATATGGCGAAAGACTGCAGAGATCCAGTTGTTTGCTTCAGATGCCAATAATTAGGGCATGAGGCGAGATTGTAGATCTGGAGTGATTGGTCATGGATCTGATAACAGAGGGCGTGGAAATGGTGGTCGTGGTCAAGATAATGAAGGAAGAGGGCGTAGTTCTGGAGGTCGTGGAAATTTTGGTGGTAGAGGTAATGGTGGATGTTTTGGTGGTCGTATTAGAAGATATGAACGTCCTAATCCTTGGCAATGGAGGAGAGCGGCTTCTACTTTTTCTTCTTCAAGAAATCTTGATCGATCTGCTAAAAATCTGCTACAAGACAAGGGTAAAAGGTCTCTTTCTGCTGTTGATGAAGAAAAGTTGCAGGATTCTAGGTTGAATTTTCAAGATCAATGTCCTAGGGATTTTGGGGATTTGGAAGCTGAATTAAAAATTTCAGGTGATCGTCCTCGTTTTTCTTCAGTTGTCTCAATTTTTAGGGTGAGGTAAACTCTGGTTTTCAAAAGTATAGAATTTTTTCCATTATTTCGTTTGTTGAAGGTAGTAATGTTTTATTAGAAAGACTAGAACCGGATCTTAGCACGTTTTTTCCTATGAACAAACATTGGGATGTTAGATTGTTTACCAATGGTGAAGTTTTAGTGAAAATCCAACCGTGGAAGCAAATGGAAGATCTGATAAGGATAGGAGTTATAACTTTGAGATCTTGCAAGATCAAATTTAGAAGATGGAGTGCTTGGGAAGGAAATGTTGTTGAAAAAAGAAAATCATGTGTTTGGATCAAGCTGAAAAATATTCCTCCACATTTGTGGAATAATGAACCATTTGAATTAATGGTTAAACCTTTTGCGGACTTAGTAGAGTTTGATTCTTTAACAAGTGCTTGTGCAGAATTTGTGAATGCAGTTATGTTGGTGAAGTGTTTGGAGTATGTTGATATTCCTAAAATGTTAAAAAAATTGTGGGAAAGAAGCAATACAATGTAGACATATCTATTATGTCTGTTATGGGTGAAATCAATGAAAGGGAAAAGAAAAAATAAAAAGTTGATCAGGTGGAAGATACTTATCAAAGTTCTTATAATAATAAGTGGTTTAAAGGAAGAAACAATAGTGAAACTGGGTCTTCTTCCCATATTGATTCAACAAATAATTCTTGGACAGTCAGACAAGATTTGAGAAATTCACCGTGGGGTTCTCCTGCTGCTAGGCTTTGGATGGATCCCAAGAATTTTTATCAAAAATAAAATGTTGAATGGGAACCTTGGGTGACAAATACTACACAAATTGTTGGTGATGAACAAATTCCAGAGGGGGAAGATGTCGTGGTTGTTTCTGAAGAAATTCTTGAACATGGGGCTGACGCTGAAAAGATTAAAAATAAAAGTGATGATTTGATTTGTGTTTTTCCTCTTTTATCTCAAAATAAGGAAGACACAGGGGCAATTGGAGTGGGAGAAATCATTGATATTCCTTATGAACCCAAAGGCAAAGCTCTCATAATAAATGAGAATCATGATCCATTTAACTGGCTTTCTTTCCTAGCTCCAGAGATCAATCAGGACAGCATAGAGAAAGATGAATAAATTCCCATGATTCAATCATTGAAATCTCTGCCTCCTGAGGACACAACTATTAATTCAAAAGTGACTTTTGTTAGGAGATGCTCCAGATTTGTGGATCTGGAACCTATGACGGCACTAGCTAGAGCTACCTCAAGAATTGCAAGAATTGATAATTTTTCTTCTCATGGAGTTTCTACCAGTGGTTCAGGTGATAATTCTTCTTCTTTGGGTTCCTCTTTTGTGCCTATTTTGTTTGATAATTGCACTAAAAATCAATTGCAGAGAAGTTTGCTACTAAATGTGCTATTATTCTTGAGACTCAAGAGGATTTTGATCTTCTAAAAAAAGTAAGGTAAATGGAGATAGAGAGAGCTACCAATGAGTAGTCTCTGGATATATCTTCTTTGTGGAGCTATGTTTATGTTGATATGTTGATTACATGGAATGTGAGAGGATTAGGATTGAGTACTAAAAGATTTGGGGTTAAAGACTTTTGTCATCTGAATAAGTTTGAGTTCGTTTGTTTACAAGAAACTAAGTTGAATTGTATTACTGACAATATTCTCAAAAAGTTTAGGGGGTAATATGTTTGACTGAGTTTTTGTTCTTGCTGACGGAGCTTCTGGAGGAATTATAATTGGATGGAATACTCTTAAATGGAAGAGTTTGAAGGAGAAATCTGGTAAATATATGTTGACAGTGGTTTTACAAAATAAAAAAATAATTTTATTTGGATTATTTCATCAGTTTATGGGCCTCATTATAATAGTGAGAGACTGTTTTTTTGGCAGGAGCTTAAAGAAGTTAAAAATAACTTCTCAGGTCCTTGGGTTGTGGTGAGGGACTTTAATGTTACCTCCAATCCAGATGAAAGAAAAGGTAAAAGTAATCATAGGAAAGGAAATGAAAAATTTTAATGAAGTGATCAATGAATTAGAATTGATTGATAGCCCTTTACATAATAGAAAATTCACTTGGTCAAATAAAAGAAGATTTTCTTCTATGGCTAGGCTTGATAGAGTTTTTTTCAACTCTGAATGGGAGGATACTCTCTCCTTTTCAAAACAATAGGGCTTATGCAGTCAACTATCAGATCATGCTCTTATTAGTTTTGACTGTGAAGATAATCAACATTTTGTTTATAAATTCAAATTTAAAAAAAAAATGGTTACAATCTGAGGAGTTTACTAAGAGTGTATCTTTATGGTGGAGATGTGCTCGCTCAAGTACTTCTGCTGCTAAAAACATGGTAGGCAAGTTAAGATTTATGAGGAAATATATTAAACATTGGGTTCATTCCAATTTTTATAGTGTTAGACAGAAAAAGAAAGAGTTATTGGAAGACCTTTTAAAATGGGAAGTGTTAGAGGATAGAGATCTAACAGATGATGAGTTGTTAAAAAAATGATATTACTATGCAGCTAATTGAAATTTTATTTCAAGAAGAGCAAATGTGGAAACAAAGGGCTAAAGCTCATTGGCTCAAAGAGGGAGATCAAAACACTACATACTTCCATAAAATTGCCAATGGAAGAAAAAGAAGTACCTTGATTTCATCTATTACTTATAATGATGTTGAAATAAATTCTGAGGATGGTATTGCTCAGGTTTTTTTTAACCATTATAGCCAGATTTATGGTCAAAATGTTCCTAATAGATGCCAGGTTGATTGGAATAAATTGTTCCCTGTATCAGATTGGGACTTCAATGATATTGAACATCTTTTTTCAGTGGAAGAAGTTCATAGAGTTCTTTTTGACATGAATGGAGATAAATCTCCTGGCCCTAATGGCTTTCCTGCTTTATTTTTTCAAGTGTTTTGGGAACCTGTGACAAATGATGTTATGAAATTGTTTGAGGAATTGTATGAGGACAGATTAGAAATCAATAGACTTAACTATGCTCATATTATTCTGATTCCTAAAAAGAGTGAGACTTGTACAGTCAATGATTAAAAGCCCATTAGTCTTCTCAATGTGATTTACAAAGTGATCACTAAAGTTCTTACTAATAGACTGAATACTAAGCTTGAATTGCTCATTGATCTCATGCAATCTGGTTTTATTAAAAATAGATTCCTCCTGGATGGAGTGGTTACAGCCCAAGAGATTATTAATGATTGTTTTCATAATAAAAAAGGGAGGGATTTTATTAAAACTAAATTTTGTGAAAGCTTATGATACGCTTGACTAGAATTTTATTCTGGAAGTTCTGAAAGCCGAAGGATTTGGTGTTAGATGGATTAATTGGGTAAATTTATGCTTAAATAGGGGTATGTCTGCCATTAACATAAATGGTAAAACAGGAAGTTGGATTATGTCTAAAAAAGGAGTTCGTCAAGGAGATCCTTTATCACCCATTCTCTTTGTTCTGGCAGCAGATTCTTTTACAAAAATGTTAAATCTTGTTGTGGATTCTCACCTTATTGAAGGGTTAGGCCCTGCTAACATTGATCATAAAGTTCATTATTTACAATATACAGATGATACTTTGATTTTTTATAAAAATGATAGAATACAGTTGACAGTTTTGAAACTAATTCTATATTGTTTTGAACTTGCCTCTAGGTTGATTAGTTTTAATAAGAGTATTCTTATAGCTCTAGAAAATAATGAGTCCTTGCAGCAAAAATTAGCCACTATGATGAATTACAAGAGTGATAAATTTCCTATTACTTGTCTTGGGATACCATTAAGGCCTGGAAGATTAAAAAAAGAAGATTGATTCCCTTTGATTGAAAAATAGAGAAAAGAGTATCCTTATGGAAAGGTAAATCCTTATCAAGAGGAGGCAGGTTAGTGCTGGTTAATTCAGTCATTTCTTCTATACCAATTTTCTGGCTATCTTTCTTTTTGTTTCCTTCATGAGTTATTTAAAAAATTGATAAAATAAGAAGAATATTTTTGTGGATTTAATCTTTAGATCATAAAGGGTGTTCAAATTTGGTTAAATGGGAAGAAGTTTGTAAACCAAAATTATGTGGTGGCTTGGGAATTAAAATTTTGAAAATTATGAATAAAGCTCTTTTGGGAAAATAGCTTTGAAAGTGGTTTGATGGAAAATATGGACTTTGGAAACAAATTAGTGGTTATGTACATTTTGAAAGAAAACCATGGACAGAATTTTTAAATTCTGGAAGATTGAAACTTTCACATTTTTGGAGAAATCTTTTTACTATTGGTGACTGTTTTTTATGCAGTACATATGTGGTGGTTGGAAATGGAAACCATGCTTTATTTTGACTAGATAAATGGGTAGGTCCATTTACTCTTGCCTCTTTATTTCTATCCTTATTTTCCCTCACCTCATCCCCCTACACATCTATTAATAGTATGAGGTCTAATGACAACAATATGTGGAGATGGGAGGTGCATTTTAGAAAATAGTTAACTGGGTATTTGGTCATACAGTATCTTAACATGATGAATCTTATCAATTCAATTACCTTTGGGCAACATGAAGATAAAAGAAAATGGATATGGGAGGCAAAAAAAGATTTTTCGGTTAAATATTTTTATCAATTCCTTATTGATGGTGGATTAAGATATGATTGTGTAAACTTATGGGACCTTCCTGTTCCATTAAAAGTCAAGTTCTTAGTAAGTTCTTAGTTTGGTTGGCCCTAAGAAATGGCTTGAATACGAAAGATAATCTAGATAAAAAATGTGTTTATTTAGAGAAGACATGTTGTTTGTGTGCTAAAATGAATGAAGATCATTCACACCTGTTTCTCAACTGTGAGTTTGTATACTCTATTTGGAGGTCAATTCAATTCAAGTTGAGTATTGATAAAGATTTTAGAATGAACTCTTTAAAAGAGGTTTGGCTAAATTGGAGCAGTGGAAATGATGAAGATTCTAATTTGAAGAGAAAGGTTTTCATTTGTTCTCTTCTCTGGTGTGTGTGGCAAGAGCGCAACGACGGATTATTTTTTAATAAGCAGAAGAGTTCTCTTGTCCTCTTGAACAAAATTGTGACTTTCTCAACATTTTGGCTAGGATCTAAAGGGACTTCTGCTCGAGCTACCAGAATGCAGGAAAGAAAAAGAAAAAGAGCTGCTGGATCAATAGCTGCTGGAGTTCATGAGTTTGAAGGCAGGGATGATGCGATCAAGGTGATTCAGTTGGAATGATGAGAATTCACAGAGTTTTATATGCTTTGTGTTTTGTCTGGAAGAAAACTTTGTTAGATGTTTACCTTTTGGTTTTTTGGTTATTGGTGTCAAACATTTTACTCTGTTTTAGGAGCTTATTCCCAAGTATATACAGAGGGGTTATGTGTTACCGCTTGTAGTAGCTTCTTTTGAACTTTAGTGCATACTCTTGGTTGGGAGTATGAACTATTTTTTGTAACAACCAATTATATTTTAATTTAGCTAGCTGGAATACCTTTGGGGTGTTCCATCCTTTTTCTCAAAAAAAAAAAAATAGCCTAAGAATCAGCCACTAGAATTATGATAAAGTGGTTGCAGTTTGGTAGACCGCAAGAAGAACAACATATGGATCAATTTTCAGATGGCCCCCTCTTTGACCTATAGTACCTGATAAGTGAAATTCTTCCAAAATTTCAATCGACAAAGCACTATCAGCCGTTAAAGGTTTTCTATGAATGGCGTAGAACTCTCCCGGGTAATTAACAAGGCAAAGTAATCATACAGGAATAATCACTTAGCTTACCTAATTAAACAACAAGCAACGTGTTGTCTCAAGAGATTAAAAATGGTTTGCATGGTTCTCCTCCGTGATATGTGTGTTCCACGTGGAGATGATTCATATCAGTGGATTCCACTCATAGGAGAACTTTGGAGTACACAAGATAACAATACTCAAAGTTATCATGCCTGCCTCAATTCCAACTTTTTGCTGACCGAGTGAAAAAGCAGCTAAGATTTAGACATATTCTGTATTTCCGGTAATAAGAGAGGTATTTGAATTTATTAGTAGCTTTTGCTTCAGTCATTGACATGGAGAAGAAAGGTGCATTGCAGAATGTACAGCTTCGATTATTCAGATTAAGAATAAAGAATAATGATGGTGTATATACGTAATGTCCTAAAGCAAGCAAGAGACTCCACTGATCATAAACAAGCGGCTAATGCTTGCATCAACAGCGAACAACACTTAAGAATAATGTAATGATAAAGGTATCCTTTCAGAATTCCCTATAAATAGGCCTGTATGCTATAACACACTCAGTCAACATTGGGTGTCTACCTCTGAAACTCGAACAATGGGGGAGAGAATGCGATTTCCAGTCGGAATATTGGGTAGTCTTCTATTTAATTTCCTTGATTCCTGAATCCCCACCACCTACATGTGATGCGAAGAAAACAGATACTGAATGTTGTAATAATTTACCTTTGTATTTTTTTTGCAGGGAACGCAGCCTCCTTGTTCCTATACACAGCACCCATGTATTTCATTCGTTGTATCTTGAATTCCTGCATTCATATGAACAATCTGATAGCGTCACTAGAAATATCACCAATTATTGTTTTGCAGATTAACTTTCAAAAGAGTTATTAGAAAGGAAAGTACGGAGGAGTTCTCATGCATCCCATACATCATTGCTCTGCTGAATTGCCTTCTATATACTTGGTTTGGTATGCCAGTGGTAAGCAAAGGTTGGGAGAACTTCACGGTGGCTACCATCAATGGCTTAGGGATCCTTCTCGAGACCTCATTCATTATAATTTACGTATGGTTTTCATCACCAAAACGTAAGGCAAGCTCTCTCTTCTTGTTTCTAGTGAATCTGCAACTCAGAGCGGATATTCTCAAACTGACATGTTCATATAATATCCGGTTCGTGATGAAGAAAGAAGCATCTTTATGCCTTCAACAGATAATAGTTTTTTATAGTTATTCTAAACATATTAGTCTACAAAGTAAAGATTAAAGAAGATGAAGTTCTTTTTAGTATTTCCCCATAGAGACCAAACATGTGATCTAGTAACTGAACTAATTGATTAATATACTTATTGTGCGCCGTCATTCTGATAAAGTGATCTTGTGGATACATACGGTTGAAATATTGTAACAGATGAACATTGTTGCAGCTTGTAGAAGTATAGAGTTTCATACAATAAATTTCTAACTTTCATACATGTATTGAAGCCATGTGCATATATATGTCTAGATATTGGCTGGAAAGCTAACCACAAAAACCAGGAAACAAGATGTTTGAACATTTTCTTGTGTAATTTGGAAGTATTGAAGTTCAAGAAAACACTTTTTTACCACCAAAAATCCTTTTCAATTCTTAGATGAAGCTAGGTGCAAAACGCTGTTTTCACTCAGAATATACGTGTGGAAGTGGAATCTGTATATGCAGAACTTTCTGTTTCAGAATGACAATTTTATTTACCAACTACTAAAAATTGTAAATCTTCTTCTTATTAGAGTATAGAACATAAAACATGAATTGTCATGTCAGATGACTTACTACTTATTCATATGTTACTGCGTGTTTTGCAGAAATTAGTTATTCTGATGGTGACAGTGGTAATCATCCTATTCGGCGCGACTGCATCGGTTTCATGTTTTGTGTTGCATGATCACCCTCACCGAAAATTGTTTGTTGGAGTGGTTTCTCTAGTAGCTTCCATAGCCATGTATGGTTCCCCATTAGTAGCTATGGTATGGTTGTAGCTAGCATGAATAATCCACTCTAAATCTTTTTATACAATGAATTGTTTAAAATGCAAATTGGAAAAGATCGTCAAGAACAACACCATCCAAACATGTAACATGTAATGGACGGAAAATATATGCTAAGTTAACATAAAACTTAATAGTCTGTTCATGTGGGCCGCATGGAACTGCCTTGAGCTTCAATTTGAATGATAAAATAAATGGGGGCAAGTAAATAAATTTTGATTTCGATAACAATGAGGGTTGAACATAAGACATTTTGGGACCTCTTCAAACCTGGTATTCTGGTACTACAGTCTTAATCGAGAACCAATTTACTCAACATTTACGTTTTCTGACACAAAACTTCCTAACAGGCGATAACAAAGTCTTCTGTTCCAACTTTCCCCTTTTTAACCTGAACATAAAACAGCTATCCTGACAAGGTAGAACTTCGAAAAGCAAAGATTTGTGAATGGAATGCAGAAAATTCCACTCAGTACATAATAAGTAAGACAAAGTTATTACTTCTCCATATCAGGGAAAGTCGAACAGGACTTAAACTATCTAACACAATACAATCATGCTTAATGCCTAAGATTCAACAAAATGTGTCTAAGAATTTTATCTTTTGTTGATGCAGGGATATATGCAAGCTTAACTAATTAGCATGCAACTAAAAAAAACATTCAACAATAACTTGCAACTCTTCCCTTTAATTGCAGAGGCTAGTGATCAAGACAAAAAGTGTGGAGTTCATGCCCTTCTATTTATCATTCTTCTCCTTCTTCGCTAGTTCTCTCTGGATGCTATATGGCCTTTTAGGCCATGAGTTCTTCATTGCGGTCAGCAAACTAACAATTAGCATTGCATTAATACGAAATCAAGCATAAATTATCAACTCATCTCTCTCTAAATTTGTTGTAGGCACCTAATTTCTTGGGTACTCCCATGGGAATCCTTCAGCTGGTACTCTATTGCATGTATAAGAACAAGAAACAAGCTTATGAAGAACCTAACAATGTGGATGTAGAGAACAATGGAGAAAAGCCGACTTCCCAAAGATAATTCAATACTGGAAGAAAAGAAATTGCATTAACAATGTGGAATAAGAGTTTCCAATCAATCTCTAGATTCTCTACCTTTTATTGTCATCTATATAGTAGCTAATCTATGCAGATGTAACATTTCCTGCATCACCCCGTCATTTGATGAAGTGTGTGAGAAATAAGAGAATATCATCTGATGGATTTAATCTCTGCAGTAACTCTTTTTTTCTCTTTTTTCCACATGACTCTCTTGCCATAGCATTGATTATTTTGCTTTTTTATGTGTGTGTCCATATGCACATCAAACTTATAGTGCCGTTATGAAACTCAGATTGAAGGAATATCACAATGACCCACCTTGATCTATTTATTTATATTGTTTCTAATCATCTGAAGCCCCACTCAAATTTCGCATCATTCTTGGTTGATTTCCTCAATCACCTGATCACCAAAGAAAATCTAGCAAAGTGTGATATAAATGTTCCTTTGATGTGTACCACTATGATAGTGCAGCCGAATTTGCCAACACCTTCTTTTAGAATGTTGTCGTGTAGAGAGTTGTGGCTGATTATGACTAAGATTGCTGTCATTCTTGGCCCATCTCATTTTGGATCTCTAGCATTTTGACCGATGTCTCCCGTTCCACACAATCTTCAAAGTGAATGAGATCCTTCTATTGTGGAGGTCTTATGGATGATTTGGAAGGAGAGGAATCAAAAGATTTTTAGGGGCTATTTGGTTGGGCCAAAAAATAGGAAAACACCTGGATTTATAGGAAAAGGAACAAAAAGTGGGTTGTTGAGCATTATAGGGTTCATACACCCTTTTTTTAAAATTATAGAATCACTTTCTATAAAGTATGGAAAATGACCAAATTCTAGGAAAGTCTAAATCCTTGTTTTTGGAGAGGATTTGGACTAGAAAATTTACATAATAATGATAATAAATTTAAATTACTAAAAGTTATCTAAACATGATAGAAATTCAAATACTTGATCTAAACATGTTTAGAAACTAAAAAATATAATCTATATCAAACAGAAGCAAGAATTAATTAAACTAACCTCCAGCCATTGTTGTCTCACATAATGGATAATAGATGTTGATTTCGAGAAGATCTTCTAAACCTTATCTCTTTACTAATAGATGATGTATTTTCCCTTTCGAAAAAATTGAAGAGCAGATATTAGGGACCAACCGAGATATATACTCTTTTTTTCCACTCTCTCCATCAAAGAGCAATAACCGAATTAGTGGGCAAAGTGGTTGGTTAAGTTATAACCAACTCTCTTGATGATGGGAAGTTATTGGACCACTTTGTAACCAAACGAGAAAATAAAACCAACATTCTCCCACTTGGTCCAAACATTCCATCATCCACCTTAATGAAAAACAAAATACATGAATCATGGCGATAGTTTCTTTAATGTTGAGTAGTATCTTCCATGTATCACAATGTATCGTGTCTCTCAATCCCGAACGACTTAATGAATAAACCCTATGTTTATTCGAGATCCAAACTTTAATGATATTTCTCAATAAAATAAGCAAATATGTATGTGCACAAAAACAAATGAGAAATATCAACTGAATAAGAGTTTCAATAAAATATCAAATGTACGTATAATGAATATTTACATCATGGAACCAAGTCTCATTCTTACTACATGATCCTTGAAATTCTTTGGTGGCATGCCTTTAGTCAAAGGATCAGCAATCATCAACTCAGTGCTAAGGTGCTCAATGACAACTTTCTTTTCCTTAACACGTTCTCTAATGGCTAAGTATTTGATGTCGATATGCTTACTACGACTACCACTCTTGTTATTCTTAGCCATAAAAACAGCAGCTGAGTTGTCACAATACAGTCTTATTGGCCTAGAAATTGAATCCACAATTCTGAGCCCCGACACGAAACTCTTCAACCATACATCATGTGACGTAGCCTCAAAACATGATACGAACTCGGCCTCCATAGTGGAAGTAGCAGTCAAAGTCTGCTTTGCACTCCTCCAAGACACGGCTCCACCGGCAAGCATGAAAATGTATGCTGATGTTGATTTGCGTGAATCAACACAGCCAGCAAAATCCGCATCAGAGTAACCAACCAACTCCAAATCGTCGGTCCGTCTATACATGAGCATGTAATCCTTTGTCCCTTGAAGGTATCTCATCACCTTCTTTGCAGCTCTCCAGTGGTCAATACCTGGGTTACTCTGATATCTTCCTAGCATTCCAACAGCAAATGCTATATCAGGTCTTGTACAGACCTGAGCATACATTAGGCTTCCAATGGCTGAAGCATATGGAATGTTTTTCATCTGTTCCTGCTCGAGCTCATTTTTAGGGCATTGATTTAGGCTGAATCTGTCACCCTTCACAATAGGTGCTACTACACTTGGTGAACAATCATTCATCCGAAATCTCTCTAAAACCTTTTTGATATAGGTCTCTTGAGACAAACCCAAAATCCCTCGAGACCTTTCCCTATGGATCTTAATGCCAATGACATAAGATGCATCACATATATCTTTCATATCAAAGTTCTTCGAGAGGAACTGTTTCACCTCATATAGCAAACTTTTATCATTTGCCGCAAATAAATTATCATCCACATATAGCACAAGAAAGCAAAACTTGCTCCCACTGACCTTCTGGTATATACATTGATCCATGACGTTCTCTTCAAAACAAAATGAAGTGATAACGTCATGGAATTTCAAATACCATTGGCGTGAAGTTTGTTTTAATCCATATACGGACTTATTAAACTTACAGACCAAGTGCTCACCATTACTAGAGGAGAAACCTTCAGGTTGCTTCATATAAACTTCTTCCTCTAGGTCACCATTAAGAAAGACCGCTTTCACATCCATTTGATGCAAATCCAAATCAAAATGGGCAACCAATGTCATAATGACCCGAAGAGAATCTTTCTTAGATACAGGAGAAAATATCTCCGTGTAGTCGATTCCCTCTCTTTGAGTGAATCCTTTGGCAACGAGTCTGGCCTTATATCTCTCAATGTTGCCTTGTGAGTCTTTCTTTGTTTTAAAAACCCATTTACATCCAATGGTTTTTATACCATCAGGCAACTTGACGAGATTCCATACTCGGTTTGACGCCATAGAATCCATCTCATCTTTCATGGCATTGTACCATAAGTTTGAAATCTCAGAACTCATGGCTTGTGAAAACGTCTCAGGATCATTTTCGGCTCCAACATTATAGTCAGACTCTTGTAGATACACGACATAATCACTAGGAATCGCCGATTTCCTTACTCTAGTAGATCTTCTTAATGTTGCATCAACATTTTCCTGAGGATCAAGATCATGTTGTTCAGCTAGCTGTTCAACAGCTTCAGGTATTTGTTGAACTTCAACATCTACTAAATCAGGATCAACAGCTTGTGGTATTTCGTGAACTGGTTCTTCAACACGCGTTTGTACTATAGGCGCGTTGTTAACAACAACGATCAGTCCGTTGCTTGAAGTGGCACAATGAGCATCTAAATGATCTTTCTCAAGACCAACGCCCTGAGATCGATCGCTCCCACTAATCAAGTCGTTCTCAAGAAATTTAGCATTTCTTGATTCCACAAACCTAATGCTATGAGATGGACAATAAAATCTGTATCCTTTAGACCTTTCGGCATATCCAACGAAATACCCACTTATGGTCCTTGGGTCCAACTTCTTTTCTTGTGGATAACGAAATACCCACTTATGGTCCTTGGGTCCAACTTCTTTTCTTGTGGATTGTAGACTCTTACTTCGGACGGACATCCCCAAACGCGTACATGTCGCAAACTTGGTTTCCAACCTTTGAATAACTCAAAAGGAGTCTTTGGGACAGCCTTGGTCGGAACTCGGTTTAATATGTACATAGCCGTCTTGAGAGCTTCAGTCCACAAGGATTTAGGAAGTTTGGAGCTAGCAAGCATGCTACGCACCATGTCCAATAATGTTCGGTTTCTTCTTTCAGCTACTCCATTTTGGTCCGGAGAGCCAGGCAAAGTATATTGGGCAACAATCCCATTTTCACGAAGAAACCTCGCAAATGGACCATTTGCATGGCCACTCTCAGTGTATCTACCATAGTATTCTCCACCTTTATCGGATCTCACGATCTTAATTTGTTTGCCACATTATTTCTCTACTTCTGTTTTAAACACCTTAAAAGCATCTAGTGCTTCATTCTTACTGTTAAGCAAGTAGAGATACATGTATCGCGAGTAATCATCTATGAAAGAGATGAAGTACTTATCACGGTATGCATCCATGTCTAGACAACAAATGTCAGTGTGTATGATATCCAATAATTCAGAACTTCTTTTGGCACCTTTCTTGGACTTGTTAGTCTGCTTACCCTTAATGCAGCTTATACAAGTCTCAAAGTCAGTAAAATCTAAAGTACCAAGTACATCATCATTCACTAACCTTTTAATTCTATCAATAGAGATATGTCCCAATCTCCGATGCCACAGTATAGAAGACTCTTCATTCACAACACATCGTTTAGTACCAATAATTTCATAAACGTGCATAGAAGTATGGTTTTCATCATTTTGCAAATTAAGGAGAAAAAGACCATCAGACAAAGTACCACATCCAATAACATCAGATTTATGAGACAAATTAAATCTGAAATCTGAAAAGTTAAAGGAATAACCATCTGATACAAGTCTGGAAACTAAAATTAAATTCCTAGAAAAACTAGGAATATAAAACGTCTTTTCTAAACTTAAAATAAAACCACTACTTAAAACCAGTCTGCACGTGCCAATGGCCTCCACATGTGAGGGCATCTTATTTCCTGAATAGACGCTGTGCTCACTTCCCATCGGCTTCCGCGAGTCTCGTAAATCCTGCAATGAATTGGTGATATGGATTGTAGAACCAGAATCAATCCACCATGTGTTATGATTAACATCAATCATATTGGATTCATAACAAACAAAAGAAAGTTGAGTACATTTCTTATCAAGCCACTTCATGAACTTGGAGCATTGTTTCTTAACGTGCCCTTTCTTTTTGCAAAAGAAGCACACAATCTCTTTCTTAATGTCCTTTTGAGGAGGGATTTTCCCTTTCCCTTTGTCCTTGGCTTGATCCTTCTTCTTGTACTTCCCAGGGGTAAAAAAGTTCATAATTTCCTTTTCCTTTTCCTCTATAAGCAGCTTGTCCTCTTCCTGAACACACATGGTCAACAATTCATTGATCGATCATTTGTCCTTATGTGTGTTGTAGGATATCTTAAATGGGCCATATTGCTGAGGTAAGGTGCAAAGGATGTAGTGAACCAGGAAGGCTTC